TAACAACTGCTATTAAACTTTTTGAAAGAAAATGATGTATTTGTGTTAAACATAAAAAAAAGCATTACATTTAAGACAGATGTAACAACGTTTTCTTTTCTATATCTGAAATCTTTTGCAGTACTGCTTTAATTTTTATCTCTTACCCAAACTCGTACTTTTTATTTTTACTTTTGTTGTACCAAATAACGGGTCCCATACAACCTAAACATCGTTGGAAAAACAATAAAAAACAAAAACAACGTTTGACAACTGTTTTCGCTTTTCGATAAATGTAGATGGTATCGTTTGGAATAAAAGACACGGGACTTGGTTTATTGATACTTGTTTCGAGGGTTTTAAAGTTTCGTAAAGGGGTTTTCTATCTAAAAATACAAAAACGACTTCTCGAGTTAAAATGACGTGCAGATTTCAAACTTTTCCAAAAACAAGTTATTCCGTCTTTTATTTAAATGCCAACTAATTAAAAAAATATAAAAATACAGATCGAAGTTTAACTTTATCTATTAACTCCTCATGGTTTATGGTTCTTGTCCCTGATCATTCTTTAGACGGGCCAGACTTTGAGGTTTAAAGATGGCCCATTAAGGCTTTCCGGTCAGTGTTTTGTAGGCTTTTTTGATCGGGCTTTTAATCGGGCCTTGAAATAGATTTGGCCTCATGGGCCTTAATGACATGTCCAGTGTGGGCCTGAGCTCAAGCTTACTAGATCCAAGTTTTTTTTACTTGGTTTGGATTAGAAACGACCAAATGGGCCCGATCGACCTTGGACCAATTGGGACTGGGACTGGCCCGACGATCCGTAACCGGTTACGATTTTTAGGGAATTTGAAGACCTGGCTCGGGATCGGTTATACATAGACCCAATTTAACTTTATTTTTTAATTAAGCTTTTATAAATTATATATCAAGTTTTTCAGTATTTCTATAAGATTTTCATGTTTTTATAAGTATTCCAATACCGTAACTATAAAAACATGTATAACATTTTTGTATACAAAAATTAAAAAAACAATAATTTTAAAGTGTATTTGAATAACCACAAGGGTGATGCCTGATTGGTTTGAGCTTGACTCCAAAGGTCAAAAGTACCAGGAGGAATAAAAATCCCCTTGTGGCCACAGAGGTTCAAATGTGATGACTCCGAACTATCTGCAAAGCAGGTGGTCGTCCTGAGATTAGTCGGTTCGCATAACGGGTTGGATATTCAGGTTAATACAAAAATGTGTATTTGAATGACCCAATTAGAATTTTTAAAGTGTATATGAATAGGATACTACCCAAAAAATGAAAATCTTCAAAACAATATTCTTTTACGTTCAAAATTGTTTTTTGGGAGAAAAAAATCTGGGACCAATTTGGGCCCAGCCGGAGACCGGTTACGAAGCATGGAAACCGGGCCTTCATATTTTGGTCAAGACCAGTTACAGGAAGGCGAATTGGGATCGATTTAGACTCAATTCGAGACTGATTTTTGACCATCTCTAATTTGGATTTTGACTTTTTTAATTATTTTTATATGATACTTAAATGATTAAAACTTTACATCTTAAACCACAAGGGTGGTGCCTGATTGGTTTGAGCTTGACTCCAAAGTATCAGGAGGTCCCAGGTTCAAATCCAAGGAGGAACAAAAATCCTCTTGTGGCCACAGAGGTTTAAATGCGCTGACTCCGGGCTATCTGCAAAGCAGGTGGTTGTCCTGAGATTAGTTGACTCGCATAGCGGGTTGAATATCCAGGTTAATAAAAAAAATTTACATCTTAGGTACTAAAATGGAAGTTTAAAAATTACGTTACCCAAAATAGGAATCAAGTTAAAGTACGTTATTTTTTCATACAATTTGCCTTTTATCTTTTATCTAAAAATTAGTTATAGTATTTTGCATTAACTACGTTAAATACATGGTAAGTTCAATTAATTGCTTTAAAAATATTCCTTTCGTCCCAAAATAAATGTCAACGTTGCTATTTTAGTTCGTTCTAAAATAAGTGTTCATTTTCAAAAATAAATGTCTATTTTTATCTGTAATTATGTGACAGAGAAATTTCTCTCTCTATAATTAAAAGTAAAACTGTTAATTGCATATTTCTTTTTCAGTAATAATAAAACTAATTTATTTTTTGAGCTTATTGAAAAAGTACCGTTTGGAGTTTTTTAAAACGTTGCTTGAATTAGATTTTCAATAAGCTCGAATAACTTTTTTCCCCACTTTGTTTAAGTTATTATCATCCTATTAAGGGCAAATTGCATGAAAAAGTAATGTACTTTAACCTGATTCCTATTTTGGGTAACATATTTTTAAAACTTCCATTTTGGTATATAACATGTGAATTTTAAAATTTGAAGTAACTGGTTGAAGACTAATTTTAGATTTAAAAAAAAATCTATGTCACTAACCACATCATCAAATAATATTGAGTTGGATACCGCATCAGCATAATAACCGGTTAATGCTTCAACTGGTTACCTGAGTACTTAAATGTTTAAAACTTTATATCTTAGATACCAAAATGGAAGTTTTGAAAGTACATTACCCAAAATAGGAATCAAGTTAAAGTACGTTACTTTTTCATGTTATTTATCATTTTATTAAATATAGTATTTAATTAATTACTATATTAGAATTTTAATAAAATTGTAACAACACTTTACATCACTAAACTTTATTAAAATATAAATAAACATACTTTGGAAAAAAAAATTAATTTAGTCAAAACACATACATACATACATACATATACATATATATACATATATACATACATATACATAGGGTTGGGTTCACGTGAGACCGAGAGTTTTTCGTGAGACCCGTGAGACCAATTTATGTTTATTGATCAACTTTATAAACTAATGATCTAATGGTTTAAAGTTGCACAGTGACAATTTTGTAATTATTGAGAACTCTCGTGGCAAATTTTGTGATTAAGAATGTTGAGATTATAGATCTAATCCAAAGGTTGAGAATTGGTCTTACGGGTCTCACAAAAAAACGTTGGTCTCATATGATCCCAAGTCCATATACATATATATAATTAGTAATCAAGTTGAAGTTTTATTACCATCTATATTTATGGTATAATCTTCAATTTTTCTCTAAAATACTGATTTTATAGTATACAGAAATACAGAATCAAATGACGAGACAAGTTTTATTCATATCATAAGATGCGAGAAATTCATAATAACAGTGCAAATATGATACGAAATGCAAAAAATTTCCATTAAAACTAAATAATCGAAAATATATGTATTTTGTAATTACATATTTTAATACGTTTTCTAATTATAATATGTACTGTTATAATTGAGTAATTTTTTTTATTAACCTGAATATCAAACCCGTTATGCGAGCCGACTAATCCCATGACGACCACCTGCTTTGCGGGTAGCCCAGAGTCACCGCATTTGAACATTCGTGACGATAAGGTGATTTTTATTTCTTCTTGAGTTTGAACCAGAGACCTCCAGATACTTTTGATCTTTGGAGCACAAGCTCAAATCAATCAGACGCCACCATTGTGGTTAATTGAATAATTTTTTAACATATCAATTTATGATTTTACATTTGACAAGTAGTTTATCCGCTAGCTTTTCGTCCAACAACCATCTCTTCAACCGAAATTATAAATTTCAAAATTCAAATTAAAAAACAAAACAAAACAAAGACAATTTCTATTTTAATTTAATCTATATTTAATTAACTTAAGAGTAAATTACATGTTTAGTCCCTGTAATTATATGTTCTTAACAATTCTTACCTCATTTCTAAAAGTTCTAACGGACCATATACACGTGATTGTATTTTTACAACGATCTGGATCAATGTAACCACATGACCCAAATCGTTGATTTATTCAGAGACTAAATTTATTAAAAAAAAACTGCAACGATATGAAACAAATTCCTAAAAAAAATACAATCACAATAACAAATTCCGTTAAATTTTTAAGAAAGAGATAAAGACCGTTAAAAACACTTGATTGTAGGGACGAAAAGTGTAATTTACTCTTAATTTAAAATAAAATATTGGGAATTAAATAAATACAATTTAATAATATACTTATTATATAAAATGAAGTTAACAATTAGCTAAAAAACAGCAAGGACCACTCCCATCTCCACCCTCTCTACAAAGTGCTTTCCATCAATGTTTGGTCAAATTTTCTTCCCCCCTCTCTCTCATTCATTCATTCCCTCTCTCTCTCTCTCTCTCTCTCTATATATATATATATATATATACATATACATATACATACATACATATATAATATATGATCCATGAGAGTGTGTGTATGAGTGTGATTAGCAAGAGGAATGACAATGGTGGTGATGACATTGATGATGATGATGGTTTTCAACATTGGGAAAACTGCAGAAACAAAAACAATGGAAACTTTTGTTCAAAGCTTTCTTCTTTCTCTTTCATGATTTTGTCATCTGTGTGTGTGTTTTTCCACACTCTTTCTGTGTGTAATGAATTGATTCCAATGACCCCACCACACACCTTTCCTCTTCCAAATCCAAATCCAAATCCAAATCCAAATCCCAATCCCAATCCCAATTTTCTCTTCACCAATTTCCCACCCACCCACCACCAAAAGATCCCCAGTTCTTGTTCTTCTAAATCTCCTAATTTTCTCAATAAAAATTAAGTGGGTTGGTGTTTGATCCGTCTGGGTTCCCTCTTTTTTCGTCGGTTTAAGATACCCATTTCTCAGAATTTCTCTATCTTTTCCCCAATTTTTGTTCTCATCGATCGTATTGATGAGACGACATTTTCTTGAAGTTGATTGATCAGATGATACCAAATTTGCAGACAGATCCATGAGAAAAATGAGATACCCACATTGAATTAAGGTGTCTTTTATATGATTTCGTTAGATTATTGGATGTTTGATCGTAATCCAGATCTTTATTCGTTAGGTATTGTTAAAAAGCTTCAATTTAGGGCAATCTTGTTCTTTTTGTGCGTGTGTGTGCGTGATTTAGTGTGTTTTTAGGTGTATGATGAATTGATGGTCCCACACCACATCACACAAAACCTAAGTGTTTTCGATACTTGCCTAATCTTCTCCCATCTTCTTCTTCATTGCAACCACCCTACTGCCATTTTCTCACCTTTTTCTACAGTCTTTAATGGCTGCCCACACCTTTCCACCTAATTTCACTCAATAAAAATATGTGGGTTATTGTTTAATCCATCAGGGGTTCTTCTTCTTGATCAAGCCAAGAAACCCTTTTCTCGTTTTCCCCCCATTTTGTTTCCATTTTTGGTGGCTTTCATATGCTTACCATAAGTGTATTGAAGCATAATCTTGTACTTTTTTGACATTTTCTCCAAGATAATTGTACCAGAATCTGAAAATTGACACAAGTTTTCATCTGGGTTTCTTGTTTTTCAGAAATCTTGAGATTACCCACATTGAGTTAAGTTCCAATTTCTCAAGAAATTTGGTTAGAAATAATCTTGAATGTTTGATCTTTCTCTAGGTCTTTTAGTTCGGTCAGAACCCTTCAAAATTTGGGGATCTTTTTGGTGTTGAAGAATTTCAAGCAATTGGATTGGAAATCACATTGAATTAGTGACCAAAATTGGGTGAAAAAGAGGAAAAAAGGGGAAAAAGTTTGATTCTTGATCAGTTAAAGAATTCAAATTCGAATTCGGTTCATCTTTTCTGAGGAATTGCTTTCGAAATTTCAGGTACTTTCTTATCTCTGCATACTTACTTTCTTGTTAATTATGGTTTTGGATTTTGTTGATGATGGATTAGCATACAGTTTGGAAGAACTAGTGATCAATTCGATGAATACGTGCCCGATTAATGGTTCTTTTTGCATTCATAATTTATCGAAGATTACTGTTGTTTTTGGTTGCATTTTTGCAAGAATGTTGGTTATTTGGAACGGAAAGTGCGAAGTAGGACTATAATTAAAGCCTCTAACCTGAATTAGTAGAACATCGTATTTGTGATTATGCTTTTGTGTGGTGGATTGAAGCCATTGGAGTGTCGTTCATTGTTTTTCGACCAATTATAATGTTTCTTTCTATATCTTGTGCCACTTCTCACAATACGCCTGCCGCCGGGGGGGGGGGGTCTTCGAGTGAGATATATTGGCTTTGTTTGGTTTTGATATTTTGTGCTGAGTCGAACACAAATAGTTCGATAAGCAAATCACTCGTTTCATACGCTCTGTTTTGCAAGTTGGAGGTCTCTAAGAAAACAACCTCTCTACCCGAGTACCCTTAGGGATAGAGGAAATGCGTGCATACGTGATACATCCTACCTCCGACCCTCTACATACAGTTGACGAGATTTACTGTGTTTGTTTGATTTGGTACTCATTTCATGGCGCAAACATAGAAAAATCTTACCAATGTACCCATGATATCATCGTCGTCGTCACATTTTTATGGTGGATTATAGGGACACGTGTCTTCTCGAAATGCTAACCACCGATTTTTTCGCTCAAATATGTTATTGGGGAAAAGTAGCCAATCCACCCAACTCTTTTCACTTTATAGCCATGTCAACTTTGGCTATTTATGTAAATTTCCCTTAAAATTATCATAGATGTGATCACATTTCTTTCAGTAACAACACTCGCCCCACCGGGAGGAAGGGGTGTGGTTGGGGGCAAAGGAGATGGGGAAAATCATCACTGGTGTCTGGTTTGATGCAATGGAATGAATCATTACCGGATACCGGGTAATGAAGCATTTTACGATAAATTTGGGGGACGGGGGAATGAAACTAATTCGGCATTCCACGAAACGGACCAAGCGCACCCACCCTCGGGTTCTTGCATTTGTTTCTAGTACTTGAACTTAATATTTCAGTTGTTTTCTTTTCTTATTAGGCTTACTATTGTGGATCATCAAGAAAATCTAAGAAGACACCGGAATTGTTTTCAAGAAATCTTTAATTCATCATGGCAAAGAAATCAAGACAGCGTGCTCCGCGACAGAAGAGAGATCATCCGGGTTGTATGTGGGGATTAATGAGTATGTTCGACTTTCGGCATGGTCGGACCACAAGAAGGATGCTTTCAGATCGAAGAAGACACATGGCCGACAATACTCATGGTAAGTATGATATATATATATATACACGGGAAATACTGAGGTTTGAACCCTTGAACTCCTGAGAGGTTGGGTTCTACCAGTAACCCGAGTACCGTTTGGCCAATGACCCTTTGGTGAAACTAAAATAATTTGTTGCCGGTGTATGTTTTCCAGAAGGAAAAACAAAATTTTTGAAGAAAATTAGGGCGTAACTGAGTTAAACCCGAGCTCGCTTTGAAAAGACTGGCGGGCTCGTGGCTAGCCAAGCTTAGAGAACTAGAGTGCAAGCTTGGAACACCGAAGCGTAAATTACGTTTTCCGTCCCTATGGTTTAGAAATTGCTATTTTCGTCCTACCGTTTGCAAATTTATTGTTATTTTCGTCCCTGGATTAATTCCTACCTCTAAAGTTCAAGGGACCAAAACAGTAAAGAATTGTAAAACGTAGGGACCGAAACAAAAATAAAATATAAATCATAAGGATGAAAATAGCAATGAATTACAAACCATAGGGACGAAAATCGCAATTTCTAAACTGCAGGGACAAACACAATTTTTAACAAACCACAGGGACGAAAAACATAACTTACTCTTCTTTTTATGTAACCGTGGGTGTCTGACCCCACTTGCGCACTAGGAAAATCCCCAGTGACCCTGAGGAGATTACTGGCGACCTATCGGGATCCGTGCCCGTGTGTTGTCACTTATAATCTTTCTTTTTCTTCAGGTTCTTCATACCCTACGTCGGAAGCGAATTTGCCCACAAATTCTGACGAAATGCATCTAAGCATCGAGGTATAGGAGAAATTCAGTACTCTCAATTCTACCCTTAATTATGAGATGGAGAAATTCAGTACTCTCAATTCTACCCTTAATTATGAGATGGAGAAATTCAGTACTCTCTCTATATTAAGGGTAAAATTGTCATTTAGTTAATTAAAAAGTGTAATAATTATACAAGACATTTATTTTGAGGGTCTTGGGGTACAAAGACATTAATGTGGGTCCCACCAATGCAATGCGAAGATGGGACCCACAAAATGGAAAATAAAATGATAAGGAGTAATTAAACTCGAACCGAGGGTTTTTATGGAGACAACCTCTCTACCCCGAGGGCCGAGAGGTAGAGTTAAAGTCTGCATACATCTTACCTTTCCGGACCCCTACTCTATGTGGGACTTGGTTTGGACAATTGGTTTGTTTTTTCGTTCTAACGTAAATCTTGTTGGTTTTCTTGACTGAACCTCAGGATCGCGAAAAAATAAAAAAACCGGCGTTTGATCTCGTTAGGACGAGGGTGAAGGAACTTATCGAAGACGAGATGTTTGTTGACCGAGATCTGAAGAAGCAAAATGACACCAAGAAGGTAGAATCATTCGATTTAGAATGCAGCAGCCGTGTATCAAACCGGAAGCATCCGGAAAAAACTTCAAAGAAATCCGTTGATCACGAAATCTCGATCAGTCGCCAAGTTTCAGCTCCGAAAGCCTCACAGTATCATGATCTCGAGGAGCTCGTTAAAGAAATCTTGGTGATTCACCAGAAAAAGAATAACGAGCAGCAAGGCGATCTCAATCCAGGGGCAAAACGGTCTTTTCCAATCGTCGAAGAAAAGCTAATTGCGGCCGTGGAGGTGTTGCTGAACGAAAAATCCAGTAATGGAGATCTCAAACAAATTCGCCATTCGAAGGAGATGTTTCAGATGCTGAGTTCGAATAAAGAAATGTTCTTGAAACTCCTTCAAGATCAAAACTCGATTTTGCTAAACGAAGACCAAAAGTCAAAGTCAAAGTCAATGGCGGGATCGAACTTGTTGGAACCCGAGGAGCCCGTCCGTAAAAACCGGAAGTTTTTCAGAAGAAGGAGCAAGTCACAAGAATGTATATCGTTAAACGGGAAGGATAAAATCGTCCTTTTGAAGCCCGGTTCGCCGGAAAACAGAGTTCCGATAGGAAACGACATCCACACCGATGGAAATGGTTCCCAGTTTTCGTTCATGGAGATCAAAAGACGGCTAAAACAAGCGATGGGAAAACCGGGACCCGGTGAAAGATCGGGAAAAACAGTTGCTGATGGTGGATGGAGTTCTCCGAATCGAGATCATTTCTATACCGAAAGATTTGCTCGAGTAGCCAACGGGCTTAAAACGGGCGATCGGGTTTCAAAGTTACGAGATTCAGAAACGATAAACGGAGATGCCAATCATCGGATATCGAACATTTATGTCGAGGCCAAGAAACATTTATCCGAGATGCTAACGAGTGGCGATGAAGATGCCGAAACGATGATGAGAAGCCTCCCGAAAAGTCTCGGGAGGATTCTGTCGCTTCGAGATTACAGCTCGGTTTCTCCCGGAACAAGTCCTCGGGAGGATTTACGCACGGTCAACAAAAGTCAACCGTTAACGACGAACGATATTTCCAAAGAGAAAGTTGTAGTTTCTGATGATATGGCTTCTGAAGGTACACTTCTTTCTAAAGTTCCCTTTAGTTTCTCGGTACCAAAATAAACGTCCACAATAAAAAATTCACACAGTTTAGAAATGTATAATTATTACCGTTTTTAATCAACCAAATGACAAATTTACCCTTGATAATAGATGAAGTAATGAATTTTCCATCTCGTGATCAAGGGTAGAATTGGAAAGTGGGTACTTGATTTTGAAAGTGGACGCGTGTTTTGGGACGGAGGGAGTACTCTTTGACTTTTTAAGGTCAAACAGATAGATTTTGAACTTCAAAATTGATACGAATTTTAAACCTTTTGAGAAAAATTACGATGATAATTACGTCGACCTTCATCGGGTTTCTACACCTAGAAAGAAAAATCCGATGGCGGGTTTGTAACGGAAATTATATCGGTCTGACTCAAAAGTCAAACCAGACCTCTAGTTTTGAATGGCAAAAGCATTATTTTGTATGAACGTTGGGACCGTAGATGGATATTCGAAAACTCGGTTTTCGGTTTCATCTGTATCCGGCCAAAATCCGTGTGGGATTTACGGGTTCGTTTGGTTTCATTATCTGTATCCCGTTCGAATACTGATAATACGAAAAGGTCTAATTTGTGCGTTTAAAATGCATTGTAGGGATTCTCGAGATCATAAGTTTGCCTTCTTGTGATCAAGAACAACCCGAGCAAATGGAAGATTTCGATGTTTCGCGTGAACCATGTGGCTCTTCGATAAATGATGACCATGAGGCGGTGATATTTGACGGTTCAAATGAAGAAAGATCGTCGGAGAGCTTGAAAACGGTAATACCCGCTTTACGTTTTTAAAGTTCGAAGGTTTTCAATCATTTTGGTTCCGCATATAAGTTTCACACACTTTTCACAAGTCGTGGGCGTTTATGGAAACAAATGCTCTACTCTTTGAGATACAGTTCAGGTCTGGGTACATTTATCCCGGGGCCCCACCTCCAGATTCTCTATCATTTCTCGAAAAAAGAATTTCATCCTCCAATAGTTTCTCCATTTCGAAGATTTCAGCATAAATTATAGAGTAAATTACGATTTTCGTCCTTGTGGTTTGTTAAAGATCTCATTTTCGTCCCTGTGGTTTACAAATTGGGTTTCCATTGCTATTTTTGTCCTTATAATCTACAATTTGTTGTTGTTTTGGTCCTTGTGGTTTACACTTCTTTATCGTTTTGATCTCTTGTACTAAAGGTAAGAATTAGTCCAGGGACGAAAATAGCAATAAATTGCAAACATAGGGACGAAAATTGAAATTGTTAACAAACCAAAGGGATGAAAATCGTAATTTACTCTAAATTATATTATTAAAATATTTAATAGATGAGAATGAATATGCATGTTGTCAATCGGATCGGTTCGGATCCGTGTCAGATTGATGTTTCGACACAAAAATGTAACGTTCGTTTGGTTGATTTGTAGGATTTACCCGATGAGAACGAGTCGTCTACTTCTCGAACCCGAATCGAGCCTTCACTAGCCGGCAAGAATGAAGAACTTGAGATCACTCCCGGTGATAGAGCCGGGAAGCCGAGTCCGATCTCCGTTCTCGAGCCGTTGTTCTCAGATGACGATGTTAGCCCTGCAAGAACCGTCTCTCGACCTGGTATGTGCTCTATAGTTTCCTATAGCATCTAATCCGCTTGTTGCATGAAATTTGCACGTTAACGACTAGTGAAATGACTAAAATACCCTTGTATGATGTTAGAAAAGAGACACAAAATCGATAATACCAATAAACCGAAATCATTTGATTCACGGTTCTACCGAAACCAAACCGGACCGGACCACTATCATTCGGAAAATCAACCGATGTCATGTAGGCTGAAAGCCTGTTTACAGGCAAAATGGGTATGAAATTCTCGTTTATACGTTCGGTTACTAAGTTCATACTTTTTTGAAATTTTCAGTAGAAGCTGCGATTCAACCGTTATGTATCCAATTCGAAGAACCCGTTTGCGTTTCCAAAGATCAACAAATACGAATCACGGACTCTGCGGATACGGAGGAATCTGCATTCGAGTACGTTGAAGCCGTGCTACTATCGTCCGATCTCAACTGGTTGGAATTTGAAAAACGGTGGCTTTCAGCGGTTCAAATCCTCGATCCGTCTTTATTTGAGGAAGTCGAAACTTTTTCGAGCCGGGCCCGATACGACCAACGGCTCCTTTTCGATTCAACCAACGAAGCTCTCGAAGAGGTTTGTGATCGTTTCATTCCCGAGTCGTCTTTCATCAAACCGAAGGTTTGGCCCGTTCCGAAAGGAATGGACCTAATAAACGAGGTGTGGTCCCGACTCGAGTCACGGCTCGGTAAGGTTTACCCTCGAGATCTCAACAAGCTCGTGAGAAACGATTTGGAAACATCGAGAACGTGGTTGGACCTTCGATCCGAATCTCGCCAAATTGTTATCGAGATCGAAGAATCGATCTTTGAAGAAACGATGGATGATACCCTTTTTGAGTTTATTCAAGATATTAGAGATTAGAATGAATAACGATTGATCTTGTTCGTGAAAAACCCGTGGATCGTTTGATCGTGGGGTCGCGATCGGGTTTTCGGAAGCTGGTGTTCTTGTTTTGTTGATTAGTGAGGATTTTTAGGGTTTGGTTTTTGGTGTGTTTTTGACATAGTTACAAAGATATATATAAATGGAGATTAGTTTGTAACTACATAATCATATAAAGAGGTGGTTGTTTGTTTGTATTAGGTTGTGTTTGTTTTTTTTAAGAGGTGTTGAAGTCTGAAGTCTTATTTTACTTCTGATTAATAAAAGATGGTGCTGAAGTCTGAAATTTAGATCAATAAACCTGTTTGTTTTTTTTGTAAACTGATTACTGTCTGAATTTGTTTAAATTGTCTATTTTACCGATTAAAAAACCCTCCTCTTTAGTGGATTATTTCAACGCAAGAGTTCATATTTGTTCTATTCTGTTGTTATAATGTTGAATTTATAAGTAAAAATTTATACAATTTCACATGTTTATTCTTCATCATCACGAAATTTGTATTTAAATTATATATTAAGCATTCATTTAAACGATAACATGTCATTCACAGTATTTAACACATTTAAATCGTATTAAAACACACCAAATGAGAGATACAAGGATCGATTTGGTAATGATCAATTGAGATAAATGATCTATTAAGGTTAATAGATTGAGAAATGTCGTTGTTAAAGGTTTCGAGAATAATAAGAGACAAATAAGAGGTTGAGTTACCTCTTATCAGATAAGAGGACAATAAGAAGTGTCTCTGAAAAATTGGAAAAAACAAATATGATGGTATTTACTAACAACTTTATTGTGTCATTTTGCTGACTGAGAAATCTTACATATTAAGTGAAGGCGGTGACTCTTATCCAGATGTTATAAACACCCCCTCTCAAGGACTCATCATACCTGATGAGGTTTTCCCCACAATTCCGATGATATAAGGATCGACTCTGATACCACTTGTAATACCCCAAAACAACGAACTGGTCCAATAACTTCGAATCCAACTTAAAATCATAATGAAAGTTATGGGTAGCCTACTACTTAAGGCTTGTAAGAAGCTAACAATTCTCATTTTCTATCCATGTGGAACGAGTTGTTATATTATTAGCTCAATATTAAATAGTTACTTATTTGTTTGTAATAATAATAATAATAATAATAATTATTATTATTATTATTATAATAAGAGCACCTCCAACATATTTTCTAAAGTTTTTTTAAAATAAAAAATAAAAAATAAAAATCTTCAGAAAAATTACATTCAACTCCAACAATTTCTCAATTTTAGAGATTATAACATCATTATATTATTAAAATATTCAATACATTTAATATCTCAATAATATTTCAAATAAATATTTTTTTCAAAATGATAACAATTAATTCCATATGTAAAACAATAAAAAAACAATTTCTCTGTGTTTTTTTTTATTAACTTGGATATCCAACCCGCTAAGCGAGCCAACTAATCCCAGGGCGACCACCTGCTTTGCAAGTAGCCCAGAGTCACCGCATTTGAACCTTCGTGGCCACAAAGGGGATTTTTATTCCTTATTGGATTTGAACCTGAGACCTCTAGGCACTTTTGATCTTTGGAGCCCAAACTCAAACCAATCAAGTACCACCCTTGTAGTTAATTTCTCTTATTTTAACAATCATTTTTGAAAAAATCTCCAAATTTCGAGTTTTTTTTATAGCATCACCAATAGATTTTTCAAAATTTTTCCAAAATGGAGAATCAAAATCTCCAAAAAAAAATTACATTAGACTCTAACATCTTCTCCGTTTTGGATACCATCTAACAAGCTTCATTGACCAATTGGGTAGATTAAGAAAACAACAGTCGTAGCTGCAACGACCCACGGGCCTTCTACCTCCATGCGGTATTGCTCCGTCAGGCTTTCGTCCATCCATTTAGCAGCACCTTAGGATGACATAGTAAACGTTGTTCAACTCTTTGAACAACATGAAAAAACCGTTGTTCAACTCTTTGACAACATGAAAAATCCTTCCTTTCTTCAAACGGAAGGAACAGATTAAACGTTATCGTATGCAACAATTTACCTGGTAAACGTTTATCTGGGTAAGAGTCATCGCCATCGCTTACCGGGACTGGACCAAGTTCGAGAGAGTCGTTTGGACCAAGTTCGATGCACTGGACCGAATCATGAGATCAGGTTGGATGGTCGACTAGATCACGAGTCCAGGTTAGTATTTAGCTAGATCACGAGTCCAGGTTAGTATTTAGCTAGCCAAGTCCGGACCGGTCCTGGTTTTTTGGGACCGCACCGACTAGAATTTTTTCAAACAAAAGGGTCAAATTTTTTGAATATATCAGGCCTGGCCGGGCAGGTCCCTAACCGTGAAACTGTCAAAAATCATAACTGGATGTAACCGGCGGACCCATAACCGGTCCTTACCGGTCCCGGGCCGGTTTGGCCATCACTACTTTATATGAACCAACCTTTCTTTAACCTTTTGTCTACAAACATGAGTAGTAAGACAAGTTTTTACATCAAATCTTTGAGTTGTATATGAATATGGAAAACAGAAGTGTTTACATTCAAGTTTTTCACACACAGCCATGATCTCAAAAACAGAAAAGACTACTAAGACATGGAACTACTTTACACACACAACCATGATCTCCATTCATGTTTTTCACACAGCCATGATCTCCATTCATGTATTTCACATCCCAATCTGTTCACTTCCTGCCTTAGACAAGCTTAGATAATGTCAAGAATGAATCCAACTGACCAATCAAACTGCTGATACTGACTTCAGATTCTCCCTCAAGACTTCCAGCATGTGTTCACGCTTCCGGTTGTCAGTTCTGCATCAAATAACATGAGCATAAGGTCTTACAGTTCCTAGGAATACACACAACGCTGTCAACTCTATTATCTACCCTTCAGAGAGAATTTGAGATATCAACAAAGCAACATATGTCAAGCAAGGTGAAAGCTAAAAGGATAAGGGCAGCTTACGTTAGGAAGCTAAGACTTATAAAGAACCTAGGAACGGTCCACACATGTCCATATTCATCATGAGTGTGTGATTCAAGATGAATAACACATCATGAAGGTGTTATTCAAGATGAATATTCATCCTAAAAAGGGACATGTGGCACATTGTGGGTCCCGGGTTCCTAATCAATTTTGGGTTCCTAAAAAACTTCCCTCAAAAGGGATCTTGTAAAGCAAAACAAAGACAAAGGTAGCATATAGTTTTAGATACAACCTCAACAGCTTTTTTTGTATGTCATATCTTTTGCACATTTGAACACTTCTAAGCCTTTCTTTGCAACTTGCTCCTTCTTTTGCATGCAAATGTTAGACACGCACGCAGCCATGATATAGGATCCTCTTCGTATCAAAGTTTACTGTTGAAAGCTGCAACCTGTTTTCCATCAAAAGTACCAGATGTAAGTAAATATAGTAAGGTTTCAGGTCCATCAATAGATAAGGGTTCATATTTATATAGCTTATGTTCTATAACTTTACACAAGACTCATAAACTCAACAAGATGTTTATAAAGCACTGCAGGTATGTTCACAACTACTTGGAATGCTAAACAAATGGTTTTATGCATACTACTCAAATCATATAATACAAAAAATCATTTCAGAGAGATGAGAAGCAAACTGATGACACAGAAAGAGAAGTACCTTCATGTCTTTGAAATTCTTCCCATCCTCCACACCTTGCTCCAATGCAGTGGCTTTAGGTTATATCTTCGTGCTGCTGGCTGCTTCTCTAGGACACTTAATTCCACACCCAGGTTAACTGAAGTTGCTGTTGTGGCTTTAAGTTATATCTTCGTGCTGCTGCTTCTCAAAGTTCGTTACGGAGGAGGGCATTTTTTTATTACAATAACAGAACGTTTACAACCTAAGGTGGGATTCCCACCAACAAGCATGTCTACTCAACCATCAGGACAGGCCCCGGGGTTATGATGAAGTGCACTACTATACAAACCAATAACCAATAACCAAAACCAAAAGTGAACAGTCCTTGGCAACCCATTGCAACCTATCAAACGATTAATAATAAAAACATTTCATGGACAGATTACTGTTTGATACAAGAGAAATTATTTGAATCCAAATATGACATTGAATTGATGATGCTTTTGTAACCATAAGAAATGGTTTGCATTTGTAACCAGCCATGAGTTGAGTTGTGATACTGTGATGATTTTGGAACTGGTGGATGGATGTATTAATAATAAAAACCATTTCATGGACAGATTACTGTTGGATACAACAGAAATTATTTCAATCCAAATATCACATTGAATTGATGATGCTTTTGTAACCATAAGAAATGGTTTGCATTTGATAACCAGCCATGAGTTGAGCTGTGATACTGTAATGATTTTGGAACTGGTGGATGGATATATTAATAATAAAAACCATCTCTTGGACAGATTACTGTTGGATATAATAGAAATTATTTGAATCCAAATATGACATTGAATTGATGATGCTTTTGTAACCATAATTAGCCAACCATAAGAAATGGTTTGCATAGGTGCCTGCATGTCCGATCTCTGCAATTGGCGGTGCTGTGGTATTTTTGTGTTTAAAGAATGCCACAAAAGAAACAAGCAAGCAAGATAATCGCAGAGAGGGGGCAGGGGGAAGAACCACACACCCACATGGAGGGAGAGTCGGGCAAACCCCGTACCATCTCCCTCCATCAACCAAAAACCATTGTTTTTATTATGTATGACCTGCCAAGCAAGCGCACCCGACATGGCAAGGCCATWATACAAATGCAAATCAGTACCTGCTGCAGTCTTGCCTGATCTATACATCAACACTTCATGCATCGCCAATACAAATCCTAAACAAAGACGTTCGATCAAACACCCATTCTTCAATCAATCATTGTGAAACCCCTGCATGCGCTGAAGATATCTGCACAAATGAAAGGATTATATAGAAGTGTAACAATCAACAAGAATTCAAAATTTTCATATATAATCTATTAATACACAACTAATTTCTCACCTACGCATATGACTGCAAACAGAAGCGTGCAAGAAGAGAACCAAACTGATGGAGAGTCATCACCCACTGCAAACGTAAAAGAACTCAAGTACATGATTAGTAGAAAACGATGGGTAATAATRTCACAGAGGAGACGTATGATTATCCAAACCTTGTCCATCTCAGAACAAGTTTCTGAATCTTGGCGTTGCAGGAACCACAACGAAGCGATCGAACCAACAGCACACGAACTTAACACAGTCTGAGTACAAACGGATAAATAATGATCATCAAATATTGTCCATCAAGATACTGTATAATCATCAAATCTTGTTTATCTGAGATGAATCTTGGCTTTGTGATGACCTCAAGGACCAGTGGCGATGACGTATAATCCTAAAATGTTGTCCATCAAGAAAGCGTACCATTAAATCTTGTCCAGAAGACGTATAATCATCAAATCTTGTCTTATCTGAGATGAATCTTGGCTTTGTGATAACCTCAAGGACCAGTGGCGATGACGTATAATCATCAAATCTTGTCCATCAAGAAGACGTACGATTAAAATATTGTCCATCAAGATACTGTATAATCATCAAATCTTGTCTATCTGAGACGATTCTTGGCTTTGTGATAACCTCAAGGACCAGTGGCGATCGATCCAATAAAACGTGAACTAAACCTATTCGCCAATCAAAAGTAGAACCCCGTAAATAATAAGATCGATGTCCATCAAGAAGACGCATATTACACAAATCACATACATCTGGACGATTACGATGACCGGTGGCGATCGATTCATCAAAACGTACAAGATTCATGATGAAAACCAAGATTGAAGAACGATGATACGGTACCGAATCAACAAATGCAGGTGAATGGCAGTGCATAGGCGAAGATCAAAGAAAAAAGCGGGGAACCATAGAGAGTGAGATAGAGACACCGGGAGAGAGAGAGAGACACCAGTCGTAAAATGAAGTTATGTGATGAGGTTCTAAATTTATACTTGAAAATAGAGAAAATTACAATTTGTGTCCCTTGTATTTAAAGAATACTACAAATAGCTCCCCTAAACTTTAAAAAGTTACAATAACAGTCCAATATTTTGCATTTTACTTTGAAGTGATCCTTGATACTAGCATAATCGGTCAGTATGCTGTTAAATGAAATACATAAAAAAAACAAGAACTTTAAATAGTTAATATAGATATATGTTCTTTCAAACTTTTATGTTATTTTCAATACAGGGTCTTCAAGAAAACGGTCTCTCTACCTCTTGTGGTAACGAAAATGTCTGCGTACATCTTATCTCTCAATCTGCATGGCTTTATTTGATTTCGTTAGGATCTTTTTTCTTTTCAATCTGATGTAACCAAATCCAGTATAATCATGTTATAATTACTTGTACCTTACGCAGTAAACATGTACATATAACTCATAAGGTTGGTGCCTGATTGGTTTGAGTTTGGGCTTCAAAGATCAAAAGTGTCTAGAGGTCTCAGGTTCGAATTCAAGGAGAAATAAAAATTCCCTTGTGGTCACTAAGATTCAAATGTAGTAACACCTGACTATCCGCGAAATAGATAATCACCCTGGGATTAGTCGACTCGCATAGTGGTTAATCAAAGAAAACATATACATATGCTTTCGTCCATGTGGTTTGTAATAATTTCGATTTTCATCCCATGGTTTAGAAATTATAATTTTCATCTCTAAGCTTTACAACTTATTGCTATTTTCGTCCCCAAACTAATTCTTATCTTTAAAGTATAAGGGACCAAAACAGTAAATAATTGTAAACCATAGGGACCGAAAAATAACAAATCAGAAATCATAAGGACAGAAATAATAATTTATTACAGACCATAAGAACAAACTCTACAAATTCTAAACCACATGAACAAAACTCGCAACCTTTAACAAATCACATGAACGAATAACATAATTTTTACTCTAAAAAATTCATCAAATTTTAATTTTTTTTAATTATCATTTAGTTAGCGGAAAAACGGCGTAAAAAAGACAATATCCCATAAAAAAAAGGGAAGAAAAAGATATACGTCAGCTTCTGAAGCGCCCCCACTGTCATCATGGGTACGGAAAATCACAATATCCTATAAAACAGTTGGATTCCCACCTTCTCACCGCTAACACGATTCCGAACAAAATGACCATTCTACCCTTCTTGGTTTCTAATGGATTTATCTTCAAACAAAACATCTTCAATCCAAGCAACAATATTGAATGCCAAACCTTCCAACACCCTTGAGTAGCTCTCTAGTATTGCTTGTCCCACATCCTACATAAATACAACTTCAAAATGAGAATTGATTTGATCGGGATGATGCCGATGAACGAGAATGTTAAGGTTTGTGTGGGTTGTGTTAAACAGAGTTTTACGAGAGGGTAATTGGCCTAGCGGTATCAGGGTTACTAGTAACTCTTGGCCTTCCTAGAGGTCAGGGTTCAAACTTCACCAGATGTGAGAAGTGTACAAGAGTATTTATTGTATGTGGATGTTTGGGATTGCTTACTTGAAACAACTTATGCTTTTCTACAAAAGCACTTATCAACTTATTATAAGTCAGAAGGGTTTAACTTCTTCAAAAACTCCTTATTACCGGTTTGGCACCGGTATAAGTTGTTTATCCAAACACTTAAAAGTGCTTATTACCGATGTCACACTGAAATAAGTCAATAAGTTGTTTTTATAAGCAATCCCAAACACTCCCTATATAAATATTATATACTTCAAAAACAAGAAAACTGTTTTGATATTTTATATATATATATAGTGGAAATAGGAATCATTGAAAAATCTAGAAAAAATGTATTTGAAAATGCATATGTGAATCGATCTTACAGATTTATGGTTCACATATGCATCTTCAAATGGTTTTCAATTATTAACATATGAACTTCCTTTAACCTTCTCTTCTTACTTTCTATTTAGCCTTTTATTTACAACAACCGGTCATGTTTAGGGGAAAACCGTTAAAAAATGAAAAACTGGCACCCTAGTAACCGTTCATCTGTACAGTACGCGCATGTGCATACAAGTAAATTTGTAAGTGATTTTGCATAGAAATCAAGAAACATCTTCAATTACTTAAATGCACGTGTGAATACCGTACAAATTAACGGTTATCAGTAGGTAGGATGTTCCTCAGTTTTTCATTTTTAGGGGTTTTCCCTCGAACCTCCCTCCCACTTTGTCTCTCTCTCTCTCTATATATATATATATATTCTTCAAAAGAAGACTGTTTTGAAGATTATTAAAAGCTTACCTTGTTGTATTGGATCTTGCTTGTATCGAGTGTCGTTTGCGAGAGTTCAGGGTACCGTTGTTTTAAGCTGAACAACAAACTATCGGCTCGTTCAGCTAGCACCACGTTCTTGTCGCTCCGTTCTGTCTCGGCCACGTGTTGTTTAACCATCTCCCATGACGTTTTCGAATGGCTCGCACATGCTTTACGCCTCCATGTATACATCGAGGCCTCGACTCGATCGGCTAACTCAAGTGCTTCATGTTCCGAGCTTATGTTAAGACAGTCGAGGAGGTAGTCGGGTGAAAATTTGCCCCCGGAAGTCATGTATCGGTATATCCTATCCCCTATGCTCGTTCTTCCGCACTGAAAAAAAAGAAAAAAAAAAGATCAGATTTCCCACAATCGGAAACAACCGCTCTACTCTTTGAGGCAGAGGTCAAGTCTACATACATTTTATAGGCTGCTTGGTTGGTTTTCCATCAAGTCATGTATGGATAAAGTCGTCTGTGTGGATTAATCTATCTGTATAGATTAAGAAGGTTTTTATTTGGGAGGGTTTTTTCATAGATGGAAGGAACATGTTTTTTAATTGGAAGGGGGCAGCTCTGGAAAAACTTGGCTTTCTGCATAAAGTTCTCCCTAGAAGCTTACTGAATAAGCATTTTCTAGTTTCTATAACATTAAGCCACTACCAAACAGTCATATATAGCTGACCAAATAAGCTGAGAGTCTTATTAAGCTTGTTGGTTTGGTTAATCAATAAGCATCAAACATGTCACTCCTCTGTCCCAAAATAAGGGTTCCTTTCAAAAATAACACCTACTTTCCAATTCTACCCTTGATCATGAGATGGAGGAATTTATTACTTCCTTTATTATTAAGGGTAAAATTGTCACTTAGTTAATTAAAAAGTATAATAATTACACAATTTTTAAACTGTGTGCCTTTTTTATTGTGCACATCTGTTTTGGGACGAAGGGAGTATTTTCTATTTTAACACTCGAAAATGAATTTCAATGTCGAGAAATGGAGTCATCGATGGACGACAAACCTTAGGAAGCGAAACGATATATGTATGCGGGATTTCCATCTCGGCAAGAATGCTACTATTGATAGCCATTGCCGCTTTGTGGATTTGATTTGCGGAATCGCGTTTTTGTCTCAAATTTTTTCGGGCTTTTTCCGAGAGACCTTCAGAAGGCACGCAAGGAACCGGCAACCACCATTTCTCGTCTTTCCTCTGAGGTTGAGGAATTCTCCGGAACGATCCCGATCGTGAATTTGCCGACATGCTTCCTTGTTCCACATACCAAAACTCGGTCTCTTCAAAACTTTCTAATATATCCTATGGAAGAAACAAGAGGATATCGTTAAAGAAACAAAGTATGACCTCAAATCACATGATCTCTAGACGGTTTTCGCTCATTTTTCTGTCAAGAACGAGAAAATACGACAACCAAGATCTAATTTTAAAGAACTCGACACAAAATGTAAGAAAAATCGAATTTTAAAACGGGAGAAAATAGACGTTTTTGTCTTACTAAGAGCAATGCATCGAGCTTCTTTAAAGCCGGAAGGTTGATATATATATCCGATCTTGGTCGGCTCGACATCACCTGAAAATATTCAACGATATCATAAGTTGGTAACATTTAGCTGATAAATAAGTCATATTTGGCAAAAAAAGTAGCTGATAAGCTAAATAACAATGTATCTATACTATATTATAAAGCATTTGACAAAAACTCTTAAAAACCATTTTTTATGTATGAAATACTGTTTATTGATGCATATTACTTAAAATTCAAGGTTACAAACAAAGTGTGCGTAAGTTTAATTTATTAAAACTTCATGTTTGAATTTGTGTAATTAACTGCAGATAATTATAGTCAAATACAAGATAAACATTTCATTTTAAATATAAAAAATCTAAAATATAATTAAGATAATAGTTGAGTTATAACTTAATACTTAATTATTATTCTTATAAAAATTATATATTATCAAATCAAAAATAAATTACTACGTTATTAAATCTAAATTAAATTGTAATAAAAAAAATTGAGATATACCTACAAAGACGGAATAAAACGAAACATTAAAGTCGAGATATATTTTGTTGCATTGCGCGAGTACCCTTCTAGTAATAGTTAAAAGAACATAATAAAAAATTAAGAGTAAATTTAGTTTTAAGCTCTGTCTTTTGTTAAAAGTTGCAAATCTTGTCCCAGTGGTTTTGAAAAATGCGTTTTTTGTCCCTCTGGTTTGCAATTCATTGTTATTTTCGTCCCTCAGGCTAACTTCTACTTTTAAGTATGAGAGACTAAGGGGCCGTTTACTAAACGCTTACCCAGTAAGTACTTACTTGGCAATTTTCCTTGCCGGATAAACATGGCAAGGGGCAATAATCTTACCCGGTAAGAGCGATGATAAGAATGGAGAGTCTTACCCGGTAAGTGATGGGTGACGACTCTTACCAGGTAAGCGCTTACCAGGTAAATTGTTACATAAGATACGTTTTGATGTACTACAATCTTACCTGATAAAATAAATTATAGTGTTGACTCTTGAGGTAAGCGCTTACCGGGTAAGCATTTAGGTAAACGACCCCTAAAACAACATCGAGCTGTAAACCCATAAGGACGAAGAAGACATAGGGATAAAAACTGTAATTTCAAAAGTACAAGGACGAAAATAGAAATTTTCAGTAAACCACAGGGACTAAAAGCGTAATATACTCAAAAACTAATTGGAAACGTATAAAGGGCAAAATGGGAAAAAAACAGCTTATTGAAATGCTACTTGAAGTAGTTTCTGAAAAAGCTGGCTTACGACTAACCAATTGGGACTTTTTCAATAAGCTCAAAAAATAATTCGTCCTACAACTCATCAGAAAGGGGAAAGAAACAACACTTTTTTGTGGGTACCTCCATCGCTTTTCCGTTTTGTAAATTTTGTGATGCGGGGATGAATTCTACGATGTAGTCACAAACGGAGAGTAAGCAATTCATCTCCCTTTTCCACATCATCTTCTTCTCGGGATGCAACGGTTCTAACTTTTGGTGTTGGCCGAACATAGAAGCTAGAAGGATAGAAACAAGAAATTATGAACGATCATTACGCATGAATTCGTTACGGTACAACGAACGGTTTGGAGAAAAGATAAGAACACAACAATAAAAGACGATAGCACACGAATTTGTGATGGAGTTGCAGCCTTCGACTCGTGGGAAAAGTTCGTTTGGGAACCGTAAATATTTTGAGATCCGATGAACCAAATATACATAACGAGTATACATACATATAGGGCAAATATTACAAGATTAGCAGGTTACCGATCAAAATGGGTACAAAGTACGAAATTTTTGGAACTTTCTTACATCGATTAAGATAAAAATTTCTTACACTAAAGAGGAATTAAATGAAACTTTGTTACATTTTGATGCAATTTACCCATAAATATACATGGGATATTCATAATGAATATTATGATATTCAATATTCATTATGAATATTTGGTTCTCAAGGTCTCAAAATATTTACGGTTTTCAGATGAACCTGCCGCTACAGCTCATTAACACATCCGGGAAAGGGAGATATCAGAAGTTGTATACATAAAAGCAGAGATAAGAACATATTTTGATCAAAAACTCACGAAGGTTTATAGCGTTGTAGAGTGTTATTCATTAATGAATCAAAGGGAAAATTGAGATTAAAAATGCATACCATAAAGGTTTGTGATGGCATTCGACACGGTAACTGCAGTCGAAACTCCTTTGCCACTGCCAGACATATCTTCTCCCAGCAAAAGCTTTGAAAATCTTTCTTTCATCATTTCAAGCTCTGCCCCAAAAAAGATTTCATTTTTACAAATCCCTTAAAAATTTCAAGAAAATCTTGATAATCACATTCGATTTCACCGACATTTTTCCTATCGATGGCTCAAATTTAACATGATTTTAGGAAAAGAATGTGGAGATAAAGGAAACAAATTGAAATATAAACTTACCCAAATCCATAGGTTCATGATTCTTGGGCTTATCGTCCATTTCAAACTTGTTGTTTTGCTTCATTAGTCCAAATCTTGAAAGGGCCGGCCGGTATGGGGATCTTCCGGTGGCCGGCCAACATACCGGAGAATGGTTTTCCGATGAACAGCTATTGACATCATCTGTTAATTGCTCAGAAAAAGCTGAAGTCTCTGAGTTAGTTCTATAGTAAGCAAAAGAATTGCAACTAAGTGTTGAATTCACCATTGGTGATTGATCATGATCATGATCATCATCATCAAGTGCTGCTTGATCTAGAGAAGAAATTGTTGATGATTCAAAACCCAAATCAGAATTCTCTTCAAAATCCTCTACTTTCTCCATTCTAGATCAGCGGATTGCCTCTTTGAAACTCAGTCCTGCATTTAAACAAACATTTGGTGTGCATTATAAGCTTTCAAGACTTTTAACACAAAGAATAAGAACATAAAACATTTAAACGAATCATGGAATCATAAATACCGGGAAAACAACTTGAATTTGAAGAACTCAAATGCAGTTTTCATAAAGAAAAAGCAAAAGAAATCTTGAAACGTCACTGTTAATTCGCTAACAAAAAGGGTGCAATTTAAAGCTAACGGTTAGATCCATTCAAAATACCTTTTATACAAATCAAGAAGTTCGAATTTTTGAAACAGTTCCCTCTTAATCGTAATAATAAATCATCTGATTCTCCCCCTTTTTTTGTTTTTCTCTTTCTTCTGTTCTTATTCTCCCTTTCCCTTTTCTGCAAAAGAAATTTGCAGAGGCGTGCAGCTTGAAATCACAAAACCCTAAAACCCCAGATGAAATTGAAACCATACGATCATAAATGCAGCCATTTTTTACAAACCCTGTTCGTAAAATTGAGGTTTGAAATCAAATTAATGGAATGAAGATGATGATGATGATGAAGTTGTGATTCCACAATGATTGTTTGACTCTGCATGAATTGAAGAAGAAGGTTCCATTAAAGGGGTTGTCATTATGCTTATAAAATAAAGGGGTTTATGCTTTTACAGAGATGAAGTCGACGAATCCATTCCTAAATTAATAAAAAGAAAACATATAGAAACCAAATTGATACCTTTTTTGTGGGGACAACGATTTTGTGGATAATTTATTGGGATTTGAATCTTTGGGATATTTGAATGTATGTTTTTATTACAATTAGATAATTCTTGTAATAAAGTTACTTTAATAATTAATGCTAATTTTGGGTTGGGTTGATCAGGTTAAAGACATTTGAATCTAATATTTAGATTTAAAAAATCACAACTCAAATCAAAGTGTAACTGAACCTAATTCAAACCGTACGGGTTGGTCGGGTTGATACTTTGATACAATACAACAACAACAACAAAATTTCCTTCTAACTTTGAATATGTTAGATATGATTATTTTGGTTTGGTCATAAAATATCAAATGACTAACAACAAGGGTGGTGTTCAATTGGTTTGAGCTTGAACTCCAAATGTCAAAAGTGTTCGGAGGTTCCAGATTCGAATCCAATGAGAAATAAAAATTCTCTTATGACCGCAGATGTTCAGATGTTGGGACTCCAGGCTACCCGCAAAGCAGGTAGGTCACCTTAAAACTAATCGGCTCGCATGGTAGGTTGGATATCCAGGTTAATAAAATAAAGTATCAAACAATTAGGATTCTATATTGGGTATCTGAAAATGTCTCTCATTTAACTATGGTGAGAATTATTAGTAGTCCATAACTTGAGACTTATAAAAAACTCACAAATCTATTTTTTTTATCCAGGTGGGACGGGTTATTACAACGACCAGAGAGGGCAGGTTTGGATTTCGAACAGGAGTTGTACAAGGTAGATGTATTTTCTGTATTTGTTATATTTTATTTATTAAATGATTTATACACTTATATAAAATATATCAAAAAGATATTACAGAAAATGAACAAAATGACTAAAATAACACTTAACTTGTCAGAACTTCTTTACCCGAACCAAAGGACTTTTGGCCTAACGGTACGTGGGTCTTTAAGCACCTAGCAGGTCATGGGTTCAAACCTTACCAAATATAAGGAGGATGTGTGAGTTTATTTGTTCTATTTGCCATATATAAAACCACATGGACCCTATTTATAGTCTTTTAGGGTCCAATTGGTAATTGTCAGATCACTATAAGGACTAAATCTTTAATTTATTCTAAACTCTTTCTATATGTTTAACTTGTTTCATAAGAGTCCTCACAAAACTACTTATTTACACAATAATCCATATACATTACATAATATAATTTTATAACAATAATAATTAAGTATTTTATTATAATTAATGATTATTCTAGTTATGTTTTAGATTTTTTATATTTAAAATGAGATGTCTATTCCATATTTGAGTATATTTATCTATAGTTAATTATACAAATTAAAAAATAAAGCTTTAATAAGTTGTACTACTTATGCACAATTTATTTGTGATTTTGAAATTTAAGTAATATGCATCAATAAACAGTACTTTATGCATAATAATTGATTTTAAGAGTTTTTGTCAAATATTTTATAATATAGTATAAATTATGGTTGTTATGAGAAAACGGTATCAAAAGGAATAAGTGAATGATTAGATTATTATATATTTGAACAAAAAATTGATTACCAACAATCTCAACCAGTCTCGTCAAAAAACCCTTTTCAAATGACATTGATATGAGGGGGCATTTTTGATTCACTCAAAGGCTGAGGCTAGCCCGGGGGCGGACAAGAGAGATAGATGTATGCAAATAAAATGTATTTATTTTTAATTTTATTTTGAGTTTTTAGAAGTAGGGGTGTTCGCGGTCCGGTTTGGACAGTTTAACCCCTCAAACCACAAACCAAACCGTAATGGCGGTTTATAAAATTTACAAACCGAGCGGTTTGACATCAAGTGCTCAGACCGGTCAAACTAGACCACGAAAGGCGGTCTGGTCTGACTGGTTTAGGCGGTTTCGGCCTTTAATGGACTTTAAATATTAAACTTAAAATACATATATAATTTAGAATTTTAGATTAAATATCCATTTTAACAAAACAAAATATCTGAACAAATAAATGTAATAATTAAGCAGCTCTTGAATACAAAGTCGAAACAATCCAAAGTACAAACAAATAAATATATAAGAATTAGAAAACAAACAAATTAACAAAATCCACGACTTCACAACCTTCAATGGTTCAATTCTTGAGTCTTGAGTTCTTGACCAAACAAAAGAGAAGCCAAATCTAAGTTGGTTGATATCTTGATGATGTGCGCCGAAATCAAACCATAGATTAGAAAGATCAATAGATTGATAGAGTTCTTGAGGGATTTCAAAATTTGGAGACCGTCAATATTAAATGTGTTGATATGTTCAATGGTTTTAGTCGTCGATTTTGATTATGTTAGATGTTAGGCTCAAGGATATATTTGGGTCATAGTCTTAAAATAGATAAATATATATATATATATATATGTGTGTGTGTGTGTGTGTGTGTGTGTGTGTGTATGTGTGTGTGTGTGTATTTGGCGGTTGGTTTGGTCCAAACCGCCTAAAAAAGGTTCCAAACCGCAGACCAGACCGGACCGCTCGGTTTTGCTATTTTCCAAACCAGACCGGACTGTCAGACCGCTCAAACTGCCAAAAATGGCCCGGTTTGACTTGGTTCGGCCGGTTTGAGCGGTCCAACGTTTTTTTTAACACCCCTATTTAGAAGTTATATTTTGGTTTCTGCCACTATGAATTGTATGTGATTGAACAAATGAATCAAAACGAATATATAAACCCAAAAATAGTGCCAATTAATATTGCTATTAATAGTATTTGACTCATTTGTTTATTTATGAGTTGTTTGACAGTTGCTGAATGGTTTGATGCAGAATGATTAAGTGGTCAGATTAAATAAGATGTTCTCATGATATAGTGCAAAAATGAAATATAATTGTTCGGTAATTTTTTGCAATTGAATTATGGCGTTGCATGGTTAAGGGAGGTCCATGATACAAAACTACATTCAAAGAGTTTTGGAACCATCAAAAGACAAACTTTTTTTTTACAAACAAGATTCACCTCTTAACGATTCAGAGTCTATCTTTTAATAAAACTAGTAAGAAATAAACAAACAACCTCTTACATAAGAAAAATAAAATAATAAATTATATACCACGCAACGTGGTTAGATATAAAATATATATGTATAGACGTGCGTACCATCAAGTTTAGAGTCTAATGCAAAATAATTATTTTATTAATTATGAAAAAAGTAGAGTTATGGTCTTGTAGTGGAATAAATAAATGGAAAAATAATAATTAATAATTAAAAAATTTATCTTGTAACTTTATTTATTAATATGTGTTATACGTTCCATTATTGACTTAATTTTTTAATCATGAATGTCAAAGACAAAAAAAAAAAAAAATATATATATATATATATATATAATTTACTAATATTATTTTGGTTCTTTAAATATATGTATGAGGTTGGGTTTACGTGAGATCAAACTGTTTGTATGAGACATATGAAACAATTTACTCGGTAAACGCTTACCATGGTAAGAGTCGTCGCTCTCACTTACCGGATAAGACTCTTGATCTTTGTCTCGCTCTTACATGATAAGATTATTGGTATTTGTCATATTCATCCGATGAGGTAATGTTACTTGGTAAGCGCTTACCTGGATAAACGTTTAGTAAACGGTCTCTTACATATATTTGTAAGAATTCATTATTTTTAGAGACAATAGTTTTGCATCTCGAAATTGGTTGATTTAGTTTATGTTTTAGTATGCAACTAGAAGGGTACCCGCGCAATGCAGCGAGATATATCTCAATTTCTATGTTTCATTTTATTTTTTTGGTCTCTGACGATGTTATAATACGAATTTATGTGTTTTGAGCAAACAATAATATTTTTCTTAATAAAATATAAATTTGAAGATATGATAAAAATTTAAAAATTAATATAAAAGTAATATGCATCAATACATATGTTTCATGTATAAAAGATGATTTTTAAAATTTTTTGTCAAATGATTTATAATATAGTATATATATATATATATATAAAGAACTTTTGGTCAACTGGTCAAACATATTAAAAATAGTATAATTTTTTTCCAAACATTTATAACCTTTCAAACAAATTATATCATTACTTGAAAAATATAGTTTTATATTTAATATATTAACCAAATATTACCCTTTTTTTTTCTCTGTAAACTCGAAGGTCATCATTTTTTAATCACATGTGAATTTATATTGTGATCTTTAAAATAAATCACACAATATTTTTGTGTTTTCTTACTTTGAAACAAACCTGAAAAGCCCGATAAAGATAAAAAAAAGTCCAAAATTCTCGGCCTGAAGCCTGATCAAACCATTTCAACCCCAAAGTCTAGGGGACCCGGGCCTAAAAAGCCAAAAAATTTTTTTTACTGAAAACGGGTTTAGAATGCGTGGGCTCGTGTCCGAAAAGACCCGAGTCTTGTGGGCCATTTCACATTTGTTAAGGATGTAGTTATTTCTTTAATGGGCCATTTCACATTTTTCCCATGTGGTGCCAGCCCATTGGTCGATGGATTTGTTAAAGTGGTCGAATATTGAGGACCAATATTCAATATCAGTTACATAGTTTGTGCTAATGGATCGGTTTTACCCTAAACAGTTACATGGTGGTGCTTTTCGATTGGGATCGGTGATAACCCGTTAAGAAACCAATCATAACAGGGAAGCTTAACCACGTCATTTCTAAAATAAGCATTCAACTCAACATATAGGTTTAGTTATACTCAAAACAAAAGGGTTGTTACTCATATAACATTATTAGTCTCTTTAACATTTGAAACTTAAATTCGCTTATACTCATCAGGGTTTAGTTTTCTACCCAAAACAGGGAGGCTTAACCACGTCATTTTGCAGAAATCCACTAACTTCTTCCATACTGTATCGTCGATACCTCCTTCCATATCAGCAAGTCCTCTCCCTCGTTCATTGATGACCGTCTATGCATCAATGAAACAAACATATGCTGTTATGTCGACAAGATCAAAATCTAAAACACCACACGATCGTTTTTTAAACCCCACGTAACAGTTACTTTTCAAGTATTAGAATACTTACATTTGAAATGAATTTGAGTCCAATCTTGACCTCTCCTTTGTAAGTTTCGTCATCAAGAACCACATTGTATGGTTTTGGTGTCAATTCTATGAACCCTGTCTCATTTCCTTCGTCGAGTATTTCTTCGACATAAACCCTAAAAGAAGATTACTTTTAGAAATATATGCATATATAAGGGTGATGACTGCATTTTTAAGAAGTTGACTGCATTCTCGTTTGATATATATGTATATATATATATATATATATATGTATGTATATATATATATGTGTGTGTGTGGGGGGGGGGGAGTTCCAATAGAAACCTAAAATTGGATAGGAACTCAGGAACCACCCACTGCACGTCACATGGCATATTCATCATGAATGTGCGATTCATGATGAATAACAAGCCTATAGCACATTCAAATTCATCATGAATGTGTGATTAATGATGAATAATAAGACTTCTGTGTTCATCATGAACGTGTTATTCATGATGAATAATCTTGAATAGAGACACGTGGCTCGTTGTGGATGGTTCTAAATGGAACTTTCCCCTATGTATGTACATGAACAAGTTCAATTGAAAAACTAAGTTCTGTTGTGAACTGAGGACAAATGATGGCACACCGTGTGTCTCAAACATTCACAAGTTATTCATCATGAATGGTGCATTATTCACCCTGAATGCTTACGTTCATTATTCATGATGAATATGAACAACTGAGGACACGTTCCTTTACCCCTGCTTCACGACAAAAATAAGATTTGCATAATATCAAATAATTTTCTTTATCATAATACTATTAAGATTATTTATTTGTGCATAATATTTAATGTTTGTTGTTATATTCAACTGTATTATAAAACTAGAAGATCAATTGACCAGTTTGCCCTTGCTAAAAGTGATGCTACCGTTAAGGATCATCAAGGGCAAATATGTCAAAAGACGTAATCTTTTTGTTGGAACATAAGATCGATAGGAGAGAGGTTATGAGAATTACAAACAGTGATAACAATAGTTTACGCAAGAAATAAGATGTTACTTGGCTTCACCAACAAATCCAGTATTGTTTGCAAACAACTCTGTATCCATGATTCTCAGTCTGAGATGTGTCAATTTATGACATTCAGATACTGATAACTCAAATGTGAACTTCTCGTTCCAAGAAACATTGTGATGATCTCCCTTAGACGATTTGCTTTTGTGTTGTTGAATCCCACATTCAATGATGACATAATACTTCGGTTTCCCTACAAACATATACATATAGGCAATCAAATATACATTCAATGTTAAACATTGTGTTGTTTAACATTTTTTTAAACCTTATTGTATATAATCCTACGAAATCCTGTGAAATCCCGAGCATTCTCTAAGGATTTCAAAATGCTATGTTTGAAGGATTTCAATTAAATCTTAGGATTTCAAATCCGGACAATCCAACAAACCAGACATGAGATTGAAATGGATTTAAAATGCAAATCCCTCCAAATCTATTTCATTCCTGCAAACCAAATGAGACCTAAAGATTCATCAATACCCATCCCCGCAGGGGCAGAGAACCCGTCGCTGACTTTCCCAGAGCCTCTGGTAAAACAGCCGAGACAGCGACGGGTTCTCTGTCCCGCAGATGGGTTTTTAAAAACCCTGACATAATGATTATATTTATTTGACTAAAATACCCTTAAAATAGTTGCATATAAAAATCATACCAATGAGATTGGTGTGTCTAATGCCTTTTGCACTTTCAAGAAACACCTCCAAGATTCCACCTTTCATGAGAGAAGGATTATATGAAGAATAATTTAAGCCAAAGTGGGATGAAATATTGATCATATTTATATATTTAAATTAAATATTAATTATAATATTTAATAAATAATTTAATATTAAGTTGTAACTTCTTGGTAATTAATG